GGGGGGGGGGGGGGGGGGGGGGTACCGGGAGTCACGGCCATCCACACAGCTGCCCAGACCCAGGGGCCCACTCCCTCCCTTAAAAAAAAAAAAAAAACGGGGCCTTTTGGACCCCGCTTGTTGAAAAAAATGGGTGGACGATCTCCGCTGCTGATTTTTGCAGATCAGCAGCAGAGGACCACTGCATATATTTTTTACCATGAGCCTCATGACGGGCTCAGGGGTCCAATAGGCCGCTATCCTTGTTTTAACAATACGTGGTGAAATGGACCACGGACCAGACATTATTGAATGGTCCTTATTCTCGTCCACTGTGAGTCAGCATGCTGTTTCAGCAGTGGCTTGCTGAGGTAATACGCTGCTTCCATGTCCCTGCACTCTGGGCAAAAGTTATGGGTTTGGGTTTCGTGAAGTCAGAATAGCAGTGTTGTCCGAGGTGCAAGCCCAAGAATGGACCTTGCTCCACTACATGTATCTGGACAGACTGCCAGGCAAGATACTTTTGGACTATTGAACGACGGCACATTGAAAGAAAACAAACAGGAAAAAAAAACTATAAATAAATATATATATATGATGAGTCGGTGAAACTCCGACGAAACAGTTTGTCACAGCCCCTCGTTTGTTGTCCTCTTCTCCCTCTCTGCCTACGGTTTACCGGGCAGTTCTATTTGACGATATATATATATCATACATTGAAAGAAAACAAACAGGAAAAAAAACTAAAAATAAATATATATATATATCATACATGCGGCGCATCCCATGCGCGCCACTCCCGCACATGCGGCGCACTACGCATTGTGCATGTGGCGCGCGCACCCGGTGCGCCGCATGGGCAAAATTCGGGGTCAACCCAAAAAAAAAAAAAGTTGGGGAGAGGGTGAATCGAAGTTCCCAAGCCCAGCTAAAATTCGGACATCGCCCGCGCAATTTTTTTTCAGGGCCGCGCTGCCCCAAAAACTCAGTGTGTCGTCATGTTTGCTGTACTTGATGCTATCTCCAGTGTATCCGAGTCCTTTCAGAGGTCCAATACAATCATGATGAGGA